GACTTCTGTCTTATGGCAAGGGGACCATTGTTATGGTTGCACATACCTGTTTCCCCAGGCAAAGTGTTAAATCCTTATTTTGAAGCAGTAGCTTGTATGGTACAAAAATGCAGAATAGAGTCTAGGAGATAGTTTGGCAGAGAACCAAGTGTAATACATATTCCCTATACCAAACAGCAAGTTGATTGGTTATTTCAAAATTGTGATTCATGGGCAATTGCTTTTGCTCAGTTTTTCAGAAAAATTGATGATCAGTTTCCAGCTCATAGACTGTTGCACTTTGTATTAATGCATCCTTTTGTACTCCCTAAAATTGTAAGGAGTAATCCTGTTAAAAATGCTATGTTTTTACTGATGGTTCTTCTAATGGAAAAACAGCTTATGTTATTGATGGAAAAGAATATGTAGTACAGACAGATCCAGCTTCAGCTCAAATAGTTATGAGTTGTTGCAATAATTTTTCAGCTTCTAATGAATAATTTATTTAACTTATATAACTTATATACTTATATAACTTATATTATGTGTTAATTGATAAGCATATTGGAATCATTAATGCTTACAACCTTTGCTATACTAGATATGTTATGAATGAAAAAGTCAGCTCATTCTGTTAAGATTTAGACAAGATGCTTATGAATCATTGGATACAATGCAATTGAATGGGCAGATTTAGATTTTGCTATAACAATAGCCACTCAAGACATCTCAGACCAATTTTAAAAGGCCATTTTATCTTGATTCATCCTCTCCTTTTGCAGATGCTGTAGCCACAAAAGCATATGCATATCGAGCTTGCTTGTGAACTCTCGATGAAAAGTTGGCTCAGGTGTGTTGGCATTGAGCTATGCACTATCCCCTAATGTTCTTTATTACAGAGGCTGGTAGTCAGAGACGGGTAAAGTCTTTTTACCTACCTAAAGACAGGACAAGCTATCTAAGACAGGACACACATGACGACATGTGTGCTTCCCATGACGGATAACGCTGGAAGGTTGAAGACTACCTAACAGCCATCTGTCCTGTAGCAGAAGCACAGGTATTTTTTAATTCTATTAAGAAGGGGGAATTTGTGGATGCCCATAAAGATGGCTGCACTCCATCTTGGCACAAGGACACCTAAATGTCAAATGTGTGCCTACAGAAGGATGTTTCAGCCTTCTTAGTCTAAATAACAACAGACCTGAATCTGAGGTGTGGCTACTCCTGACTGTCAAGGCTAAGGAGGGAGAAGTTGAATCTCAGGTGTGGCTAATCCTGACCTTAAGACCAGGGAACAAGAAGTTGGAGCTAAGGTGTAGTTACTGAACCCTTAGAATAAGTGAGGAAGAAAAGTCTGTTTGTTTCATATACATGATACTGTGTTCCCCCCTTTTTGGTTAAGGTATACAAGAGTGATGAAAAATAAATTCAGTATTGACTGGTCTGCCCTTCTGACCTTTATTCTGTCTCTTTCTTTATTATCTATAGCTAGCCTTTCCCTCCTCCACACTCCCCCACTCAGGTACGGGCTAGGGGCCGCTCAGCTGGCTCTGATTGTAGCCCCACAAAGACGGCTCCCAATACTTTACCTCTCAACATCCATGAGGACATCAAAAGAGATTCCAGGGAAGAGAGAATCTTGGAAATCCCCACTCTGCAGCAGGTAACCTGGGGTTGGTCAAGGCACTTTTTGGACAACCCTGCCGAGCACAGCCTCTTTGCACCATAGTTGGGACAACAGCTGGCAGAATTTTATTTATTTTTGGTTTCCCACCATATACTCATAGGCCTTTCTATTAACCTAAAGTCAGGAAAATCGTACTGAGGACCAGAGAGCATGAGTGATTGATCCACAGTCACACAGCCTCTGCCTGGAACAGCACTAATCCTGGCTTTGATTCCTACATACTTTGAGCTGCACAAGGCTCTGGTTTAAGAGGCAAGTAATACCCACAACCCAGGTAGAGAGGGACAAAGATGGGGGAATGTGTAAAAAGGGAAAAGCCCAACTTATCCACATCTCCGAGGGCTGTGGAATTTATTCATGCATTCATTCAAGCAATCACTGTATAGAGGAGTGTGCCTACTGTAAGGGTTCAGACATTATGCTGGCCTGCCCCTGTGCTTAAGGCAAATCAGCCCTCAAATGCTCAGAGATTAGAGAATATGGCATTTAAAATGTTTTATTAAAAACCTTTTCATAACACACAGGCCAGCTGCTGGCACCACCTATTTCCTCCAAGAAGACTGGTGGACACTGAAGAAACTCCACCCACAATGAGCAAACCTGCCTTTCAGCTCAAAGCTACAAAGGACTCTTCAGACTGTGGGCAAGAAAACACTGGAATCGACTTCCTCCACGTTGCTTAGTCCAACAGTAGGCAAGTCTTCCTAAAGCTCCTAATCCACAGACCCCACCAGAAGGCAGGTGTCCTTAAAACCTCTGCCCTCAACAACTATGGAGGACTTGGGGATGGGGGTGGGTGGCTGTCCATGCAGCCAGCTAGTAAGTCTTTGTCATTTTCTAATCATTAATCCAGGAAAAATTTTATCCTTCTCAAGAACTCTGATGCTTTTGATGACTGGTAGCTTTGCCAGATTAAAACAGCAGGCAAGGCTCCAAATGTCCCAAGACAGATTTTAGGGTTTATCTATGTGAAGATAGGAAAGTGTAAGGTGTATGAAGGTCTGAGGATGGAAAGAAAGGTCTAAGACGGTAATGTAAGGTGTAATTAACTCAAGTTATGAAGGTTAGTGAGATATTTACTTTGTCCACACCTGTGGCACTGACCACACCCATTGTGGTGGGACAGGGGCAGGAATGACCTGGAGAACTAGGTCTGGGGAAGGGACCCTGGAGTGCTCTCTTGCTTACAGAGCATCCAGAGGCATCTTTGGGACCAAGAACCTGCTGGTGCTCATCTGTCTCTGTTGTAAGTTATTTCTCCCTGAATAAACATCTATTCAGTCTATCTGTTTTTTCCTGATCCTTACTAAACCATGATATGAAGGTCTGGGGATAAAAAGGCTTAAATGATGACAAGACAAAAAACAAAAAATCCTCTGACCACCTGGTATGTTTGTCCCTCCGCCTTGGTCAACCTCGATCACCATGGAATCTGTCAAGGTTGCCCTCACTTGTGCACTGACTTCCAGAAGAACACAGTGTAGAGATACAGTTTGTCACACCACAACTCAGGAGAGACCATGTTGCAGCCAGAATGAAGAAAGTGGCTGTGGCTTGGACTTCTCTATCGTCTGCAACTTCTGGGCTGGACTTGGCTCTTAAAAAAAAGCTGGATTCAGCCTTCTAGAAGGAAGGCATTTTCACCCCTTGTTTTTGCTATTAAGAGGAAAGCAGCATTACAGCCATGAACAAGAGACTGGGATCTGGGCACATAGCATCTGGCCCTACCAGGGGCCATATGGTAAAAGCAACCACCCTCAGGCACTTTACCACCCATTTGAAACTCGGGTGCCCTCCCAAGGTAGTCCACCCACCGTTTTAGCTTTGGAGGTTCTCTGAGGATTTGTAACTAGATGTGTCTGGATGTGGGAATCAGCAGCGTTTATGGGGCTACCTCGCTCCAGGCAGGGCCTTAAGTAACACATAGGGACCCTGTTCTTCAGCCCCTCCCAGTGTTTATGTGCAGAGGGAAGATACACAGCAATGTGTGAACAAGCACTTAAGAGAGCTGCACCGATTGAAAGGCAGCTGGAAGCAGAGTCTCTGCTTTGTACTGAAGGATGCAGGGTACCTGCTAGTCAGCCCCAGATGATCTGTTACAGGACTGGGATCCCAGTGGCTCATGTACTAAGGGATGTCGTCATGTAAAAGAACGAGGAGAAAAATCAAGGTCATGCCTGTCATCCTAGCACTTGGAGGCTGAGACAGGAAGGATTCCTAAGAGTTGCGGGGCTGGGGGTGGGTGGTGGTGGTGGTGGTAGGGATGCAGTCTGGGCTACATAGCAAGTCTCAAAAAGTTTTTAAGAATTAACACCGAGCCCGGAGTGGTGTCGCACACCTTTAATCCTAGCAGAGGCAGGCGGATCTCAGTGAGTTCAAAGTCAGCCTGGTCTACAAAGCGAGTTCCAGGACAGTCAGGGCTACACAGAGAAACCTTCTCTTGAAAAACTAAAGAAACAAACAAGAATTAACACTGAGACAAACAGCCCTAAATCTGATCTGATCAAATAGACTATTTCCTGCGGTACGTACCATTAATTTTAGCATATTATTTTCTTTTATGGAAGTAACTTCCGGGCCCAGCGCCATTTCCCCCTCTCTCCAGGAAAACCCTGCCCCCTAATACCGCCCACCGTGACGTTGGGTGGTGAGATGATGACGTCACAGACGCGGGTTGGCGCCTCTGAAACCGCCACGCGTCTCCATGGCAACGAAAGGCGAGGCCTCGCGGATTCCGTAAACTCCGCCTCTACAAGGGTGGGGCTGCTGATGGTAGTATTCACAGTTCAGGTACGCTCCCGGAGCCACCAGTCTGGTGTTGCCCGCTGACAAGCGGCTTCAGTTTGTCCGCAAAGCTCGGTAGCCCTAGTGAGGCGAACCACTCCTTACCCACAAGAGCCGTCGCAAAACGGCGAGCCCGCCATTCGCCCCGCCCCCGCGTGATGGTAAAGCTCAGCTCCCGCCTCCAACCTACGCCCCAGTATGGTAAAGCTCCGCCCCACCGCCAGACCCCTCCCCCAGGCCATTGTAAAGTACTCCCCCAACTCAAAGGCCCTCCCCTACCTTGTGGTTAAAGTTCCGCGCCCACCTTCAAGCCACGCCCCCACAGTGTCGTAAAGTTTCGCGCTCGCTGCCAAGCCACAACCCTGGTCGTCGTAAAGCTCCGCGCCCTCGGCAGAGACCCTGCTCACATTGTCGTAAAGAGACGTTCAGTGCTTAAGGCCACGCCCAGTATTATCATAAAGCGACGCCCCTTCCGGAAGGCCCCGCCCCACGCTATGACGTAGAACGCACACGCCTCCCGCGGCTCGATCGCGCCTGCGCAGTGGGGCTCGCAGGCCGCCGCCCCCCGCTGGCCGACGCTGGCGGCGTAAGGCGCGCGGGGGCTCCGCGGAGCGGGCGCGGCGGAGCGGCGGAGCCCGGCCCTCTCCGCCGAACATGCCGAGGCCGGCCCCGGCAGCGCGGGAGCCTGATCGGGGGCCCGAGCCGGAGCGCGAACGTGCGCGGGGCCCGGAGCGGGGGACGCCGCGCTGCTGAGCTCGGCCGCCGCCGCCCGCGGGCCCCAGGCGGGGCGCAGGTAACGTTGCGCGCGCACGGCCGGCCGTGCCCCACCCGCGCGGCGCCGCCATCCTGTGACCCCCATTGACCCCATCTCCGCACCGGGGTGCTTTCGTCCCCACCCTGCGATCCCGACTGGTCACTGCACCGGGCGACCCCAACTTCCGGTCACCCAGCCTCAGTATCCCTCATTCTCCGACTCCACCTTTGATCCGTCTCTGATCCCTGAGTTCCCGTGTCTACCGTTTCCCAGGTGTTCAACTCACCTGCGACACTCAGGCGCCCCCACTTCCGGTCAACCTCTTCCCGGGACCCCCCATTCTACTTCGGTGTCCCCAAACTCTGACCTCTCCCGTGTTCCCAGGCTCTAACCTCCTAATTCCCTGTGTCTTCCAGGTGCTCAGACCCTCTGCAAACACCACGCTTTTCTCCGTGTCCCCCTAGTGTCCCTTTCGTTGTCCCCAGACCTTTCCACCTGGTCTCCGGTCTTCCTGCCTTCTGGGCCTGGCTCCTTGTCTCGCCACTTTCCTAGCCCTTGTGGTCCTGATGGTTTGTTTAAGGGAGAATAACTGGGGTGTTTGGGGACAGGTACAGAGGGTCCTGTCTAGGTGTGTGTGGGGGAACCTGTTGCAGGCAGGCAGCTGCTTGGGAACTCTGGGCTCAGCCGCCTGCGCCCTCCCCCTTCCGTTCTGGCCACCGGCTTTGTTTTCCGGAAACACACGGATCAAAGAGGGAGGGGTGAGATGTCTGAGCAGCCTGCTGAATCCCTTGCCTGTCCCTCTTTGCCCCAACTTTCTCAATAGGAGATGGGAACAGAGAGGATGTTTGCAGGCAGGGATTTACTGTGCGTCCTGAGCGAGACCCAGGTTCTTCTAGGTTGGGGCAGCTGGTTTTCATCTTGGTGGCCTCCGAATGGCAGTTTGCAGGAAGCAGCCTGGGGATTTGGTGTGTAGGTGGAGGCGCGGAGACTTGTCTGTCCTTTCTGAGCTGTAGTCTGCTTACCCAGCCTGTGCCTCAGGACTCTGCAGGCTAATGGGGTCTTCCTCCAGGAGCTGCAGTTGGTGTCTGTGGCCTGGGGACTCTGGGAGCTGCTGGGTGGAAGGCACAAAAGCCTTGTTGGTATAGGAGAAACCCCAGCTTCCCACTGGTTTGGGGGTGGACACTGAGCTCATCTGCCCTGGGGTCTTTACTTGGTGTAGGGGAGGATGGTGCATGCAGGTTTGTAAGGGGGAAGTGTGCCATTGTTTCTTTTCAGCAGAGCTGTTTAGTATTGGATGGTGGGTTTCAGGAGATCACAGACACACAGTGCCTACCATGGGTCTCCAGGGCCTGGATAAACACTGTTCAGTCCCTGTCCTCCCCACTAAGGCTGAGCCTTGGTGCTTTCCTCAGAGCCAGTGGGAGGAAACCTGAGGGACTAAGCAAAAGAGCTGGGTACCCCTGAGGAGGGCCAGATCTAGAGGCTCTGAAGCCAACCAAGGCTTAAGCTGACATCAGGCAAATGTCATGTTGTGAGATTCAGGTTCTGTGTGTTGCCGGCAGGGCTGCTCTAATGTGCCTCTTGTATCATTGGACCTGCTCAAAGGAGAGGTGGCCTTTTGTCTGCTTTGACTTTACCTCAGGGTGGTCACTTGGTCTCCAAGCATGTCCCAGAGTATGGCCCATGCTATCTACAGTGTGGGTTTTTTTGAATTACCTGTGACTTCTCTTTAATCATATAGTAATCATCTCTGGCAGAAGGAAGTAGGTAAGGTTCTTGGTAATTGAGCCTCTTCAACATGCCCTTCCCAGCTTTGGGGAAACCAGTATGCCGATTTGTGAATTGGGACAAGCATGTGGCATGCCAGACAAATGCAGGGGACCACTGTGTTCCTGGGGAAGCTTAGGAATGAGGAATGCTTGTCCAAGATATAGGCCCTGGGATGTGAAACCACATGCCAGGTAGGACAGGAGTTGTAATGTGGGATAGGTGGTGTTGATTCTGTGTGTGACTTCCAGCAGCAACAGCCAGCATCCTTTCTGCAAGGAGCTGGGAGACCATCAAGGTACAGCCCTTAGAGTGGGGGCCAGGTGAGGAAGAGGGAGGAAAAGCAGGGCTGTAGGGTCCTTTGGTGGCTAAGTGCCATGCAGTGTGGCCTTTGGTGTCTAGATGGTATAAAACAGGTTGATGGCTTTCTTGTTATCTGGGTGACAGATGGGGCCACCTGGAGACCCTAGCCCATATTTCTGTAGCAGCAGGAAGTGACTGGAGCTTCATCCAGGTTCGCCTGCACATCTGATGCCCACTGGCTTAGCAGCCATGCTCCTGCTGGACTCAAGCCTTAACCTTGTAGTCTGGGTATCAGCTTGCCAGTGAGCGCTGTGAGCAGTTTCTTCCCGAGAGCTTCTTGGTCAGCGCTGGCGCAAACCTTGGCACCCAGTTCTCAGAGGTGTCTCTACACTTAACTGAGAGCTGGTGGGCTTCGAGGACCCCATCTGGGGCATGTGGGGCTTATGAGGTATGGTATCCAGGAAGTGATCATTGCATCTCTTTATAGGAGGAGGACCAAGTGTCTGGCAGCCTGGTGTTAGTGACCCAGGGACAGAGGAGATGCTACATGAATCCAGGAGGGCTATGCTCTGAGGAAGGAGGCCTCTGAGGCTTGGTCTTGCATGGCCCTGTGGGTTGGAAGGACACACCTGCCCCTTCAGTATTCTATCTACTCCCTGTGACCTTTGTTTCTTCCAAAGGCTGGGCGGCAGCACCAATGTGGAGACTTGCCCATGAACTGATCAGACCTCAGTGAGTCAAAGTTGTCCCCATCCTGGTCCCAAGGCAGTGCCAGTCATTCTGGAGGCACAAAGCAGGGGGCTTAGCCTCAAGGTGTGGTGTTGTGGAAACTTCAGCAGGTCTCCACTCAGCTCCTAGAGTGTTTGGGTGGCCCCTGTCACCTGAGGAGACAGTGGCTACTGACACATGGGACAGGATCCCAAGGCCTGCAAAGATGTAGGACCATCAGACCCTTCAAGCCTACTCCCTTTGTGTGCTTTGTCCCACACTGTATGATCACCAGGAGGCTTCATCCTGGGCAGAGAGGGCACAGGATACCTGGAACACATAGCAGTCAAAAAGCCAATCCTGGAGAATCTCTGCGAGTTTGAGGCCAGCCTGGCCTACAGAGTGGGTTCCAGGACAGCCAGGGCTACATGCTACATAGAGAAACCCTGTCTTGGGAAGGAAAAAAAAAAAAAAAAACCAGCTGGATGGTGGCTGCACACGCCTTTAATCCCAGCACTCGGGAGGCAGAGACAGTTGGATCTCTGTGAGTTTGACACCAGCCTGGTCTATAGAGTGAGTTCCAGGACAGCTTCAAAGCAACAGAGAGAGGAAAAAAAAAGGAAGGAAGGAAGGAAGGACATGGGAGCCACATGTCCTTTCTCTGGCCCCCTGCCTATGTCAGCTGTCCCCAATGAGGTCAGTCACTGTTCATGGGTCCCTCAGAGCCCTCCTGAAAGACAGAGGAGCAGGTATTGTTCCAGATGACAGCATGATGTTTGGCTTTCACAGCTTCTGCTCACAAAGACCCCAGGCTGCACCCTTGGCTTTGTGGGTGGCAGCACATCCTTTTTCTTTCTGAGGGAGGCTCCATGCTGGGGAATTAGTCTCATTGGGGCCCAGTGGTCAAGGGGCTGTTCTGCCAGTCAGCCTCTTTTTCCCTCCCCTAGAATAGGCTTTCAGGTTGCTGGGGCCCTCCTGCTTACAGCCTACAGCCCTGCCCCTCAGGATAGCTCAGTGCCATGAGGCTGAGACAGACTGAGGTCACACATCCTGTCAGATGGCAGATGTCATGGAGCTTTCTGACACAGGTCAGGATCCAACAGCAATGTGCAGCCTCACATACAATCTAGGGGACAATAGGGCACTTGTTCTGGCTATGCCTGAGGCCACTGACTCCCTAGAGACCCCAAGGGTATGCTATACCTGGCTGCACCCATGGGAAAGAAACCCCATCTTGCTTTGGGGGCGTGTTCTGAGACAGGGTTTCTCTGTGCTGTGCTGGAACTCATTTTGTATGTAGACAGGCTGGCCTCAACTCAGAGATGCACCTGCCTCTGCTTCCCAAATTGGTTTTTTCTTTTTTTAATTTTAGATTTAGTGTTGGGTCACCATGCCTGTGTCTTTTGATACAGGATCTTGTACTTCTCATGTGTACATGTGGGTGGGTGGCACATGCCATTGTGGAGGTCAGGTGGCTACTTGAGTTGGTTCGCTTAGAACTTTTTAGTTTTTGGTACAAGGGTCTCTGCAGCCCTGGCTGCCCTGGAGCTTGCTATGTAGACCAGGCTAGCCTCCTATGTTGATATGGTTTCCAGAGATCAAATTCAGGGTGTCAGGCTAACACAAGCTCTTTACACACTGAGACATCTTACCAACCCCAGTCCCCCCCCCCCCCCGGTCTTTTTTTGAGATAGGGTCATAACTCTGTAGTCAAGGCTGGCCCTGAACTCACCATATATTCCAGACTGGCCATAAATGAACACTAGGACATAGGTTTGTGGCACAACACTCTGTGAAACTGACGTTGAGCTGCAGGTTTTAAGGCAGCAGCCCAGGTTAGCCTAGGCTGTCCTCTGTGTGGCTGAGAATGGTCTTGAGCCATTGGTTCCTACGGTTTTCCTCTGTGCATATTCTCCTGGGATTATAGTGGGAAAGATTAGGGTCACCCCTGGGGTAGCTAAAGGAACCCCTAGCTCAGGCTTAGGCCTATAAGGGTCCTCAAGTTGGGGGTCAGGGCTGGGAATCAGGACATGGCAGGCTGTGCCAGGAGCCTCCAGAGTACAGTTGCACCAGGCACAGGGGCCTGGGATTGGGTGGTTTTGTTCCACAGAGCTGGCAGGTGGCATGTAGCCACTTGGGCTTCCTATGGTAGCACACCCCTATGGGCTCCTGGGAAATCTGCATTTTGCCTTTAGCTGTTGAACTGGCCCCTGAAAGGAGTCATGGCCTAGGCAGGGCTACCTGGGCAGATTCTGTCCCTT